TCAAACCCAGCCCAGCGTAAAATGGCTGCATATTCCAGCAATGACACATTCCACACTGCAGCGTGACGTTAGCCACTCTGACCACCACTGTTCCCAAGTACTGATGTATTTTCTCACTGCTGGTTTACATTTTGTGCTACTTTAACAGTTTGATGTACCGAGGCAGGACAGCAGTCGCACTGACGGGCTTCTTCAGCACAGCCAGCAGAACTTCAGTCAGAATTCAGCAGCAACACTGAGGCTGAGCGAATGAGCTGCAGCAGCGCTCATCATAAAGGGCTCCGACATGTGCAGCACCACACTCATCACCTGTTCACACAAGCATGTATGAATGCTTACGCAAGCGTGGACACAGGAAGCATTAATAAATGATTATAAAACACTAATGCATGTTCAGGAGCAGTCAAAAGTTTGGACACACCTACTCATTTCATCATTTTTTCACAGTGAAGTCACTGAAACTGCGAAATAACCCATGTGGAATTATGCAGCTGTTGGGAGGGATTTTAAAATAATATATTTTGGCGTGTAAACTGCCTGTTTTTGAAAATAATTCATAAAAAAGGCATTCAATTGAGGATTTATATCTGTTTTAGTCAAATTTCAAGCAGTGTATTGAGTGGGTCTGAACTTTGCACTGCTCCTGTAGTTACACTCTGCTATAGAGCTCATATGTTTTGCTGAGTCTTGTGGGTTCTATCCTTTATAAGTGATGTGTGTAAGTCCAGTTACAGTGCCTGGATGATTAGGGAACTCTGCTGATGACTTTTTAAACTGATCTCTAGCCGCTGCTGCTGTAGCGCATGGTCGATTACCACGGACAAAAATTTAAATACGCTCCCCAGAACTTAACAGAAAACCTGTTCACTCTAAACTTGCTTATAATGGAAGTCAATGGGCAGATGTTTTGTAATTATAATAGTTACAACAAATTTATCCAGTTCCACATTGTGTGTAGTATTATTATTCCCAATAATTCAATAATTCAATCATAATCGGATTTCTGCAGTTATCTGATTATTCAAATGGTAAACAGGACGCTCCGATTTCTTAGATCGGAGTAAGGTCTAGAAATCCAAATCCAAAGCTTATAAAGAGGCTGGATTTTAGCACAGCAATCAGATTTCTCAGTGCATGTGAAATCTTACTCTGATTTCTTTCGGATTCCTCAGTCTGTGTATGTGCGAAACAGCAATACTGCATGAAGTTTGAGTTTTACGTTACACTTACGTCGCGTCTTCTTCTGTGAGTTTATTGGCTGGTTGTAAAGCAGAAAGTAGACCTGGAGTTTCCCATTATCTGATTACTGAAGTGCACATAAAAGTGTTGATCTGATTACTGACCAAATCTGATTTTCTGCAGTTATCAGATTATTAAGTATATAACACACTATTATCTGTAAACGTGAACAAAATTTAGGCGTCACAATGGCTGGTAATGTTTTTAGCTTTAAGCTAAGGTACTTTAGTCCATGTTCATAGATAACAGTGAGTCATACAGTGCCAGAAACCACAGAATCAGTCTGTTACAGATTAATATATGCAGAGTTAACGTTTCAGTTTGTGACTATATAACGTGAATTTGAGGTTTTAGGACGAGGCTGACTGAGAACAGTGTCCTCATGAAGTTTTATCCAAATTTACATCACTAGAGCGGCACAGTAAAAAAGTAGTTCCGGTTACTTTCACTTCAGTTAAGGGTTCCTGGTATCCATGGCGATCAGGCGGATCCTGTGATCACTTCTGTTTCACAAATCAACCAGATATACTGAATAATTCATAAAAGTGTTGAATGAAAATAGCTGTTTTGCATAAACGTTACCCGACATCTGCCCATTGAGTTCCATTATAAGTCAGTTTAGAGTCGTTTTTCTGTTCTCTTCTAAATTCAGGGAAGCCTGTTGAAACGACTGTCTGTGGTAATCAGTCATACACTGCAGACACAAAAGACAGAGATGCTCCTTTAACCAGTCAGTCCTTCTCATGAAGGTGACTGAACTGGAACCTGGAGCAACCGGCAGAATACTTGCATACCGAACGAGGGAGGAGAAAAACAAACGAACTCTACAGATTAATACATAAAAAGTGCTTTAGCCTTCAGTACCTTCACTTATACATTCAGAAACATAAACAGAGAAACACACGCGTAGCTACAGTGAAGAGTCCACTACTGAACACAGAAGGGTCAGAGATACAATGACGATCCTTTGGCTGTTTCAGGTCTGGACGGAGTGGAGACGGCAAATCTGATCAGTGCAGTCAGAGAGAGAAACGCAGGAGAAACACAGGCGTCCTGAGATCAGTGCTCGCTCTCCTTCTCTCTGTTTATCAGCGTATTGCACGTTCAAGCCATAGTTCAGCCTCAAATCAATGAACCCACCAAACTCCAGATGTAGTCCATCAGTCTGGAGCACTGCAGCTACAAGGCTAATGTCGCTAACTCACAATGAAAGCTTTTACTGAAAACTTATACCACGCATTAGCATTAGCATGGTGCTATCTGCATTCGTAAGGCAGGGCTAACACTGTACGAGTTTTTGCAGACTATTGTTTTGACATTTTCCTCGCTGTTTTTGCTCACTGAGTATTTAGCGCCCTGAGTTTAAGCGGTCAAACAGCATCGTAAGCGATCTTTCTGTGCTGCTCATTCGGCTCAAAAGGAAGTCCTTCAGTCACGACTGCAGGCGCTAAACTGACCAAATTAGCACAACATAAACAAAAAGCAGCTTTTTTTGTTTCATTTAAATCGTTTTAGTTCGCAGCACCACATCAGAGACGTTATAAAGGAGGAGGAGACGGTCACTGTCTGGAACGTGAACGGGAAAACTCGCAATGCTAAAGATGGCGCCTGTTTATGAGGAAAGTCCCGCCCTTAAATTAAAAAGAGCCAATCAGCTTGCTGTTTGAGCTGCTAGTGTGAAAAGCGCCTCTCAGTTGTGGAGTTGCGTGTGTGTGCTGGAGCCCAGAAGAAGCTGATAAACTGCATTTTCTGTGCGTTATTAATTTGGCATTTCGTTTCGGTTTTTCAGATCTCTGCCCACTCAAAGAGAAGAGTCTGGTCTATGATTGAATTTGACAGTGTTATCAAGATGGCCGTCGAGTGGACAGACTCAGAGTTGTTGGTTGAAAAAGCTTGTTACAGAGAACGTCCCGCCCTTCAATAGAAAGAGCCAATCAGCTTGCTGGTTAAGCTGCAAGTGGGAAAAGCCCCCCTCATTGTGGAGGGCTGTGCAAACGCAGTAACCAGAACAACCCGAAAACAGCCGAACGCTCCAAACTATTAATGAAATTTCTGTCAGATTTTTTCAGTGAATTCAAACCTGTTTTTTCAGTTCTGAGTGTTTAAGGCCCAATCCCATTTCACCCCTCGCCCCTACCACTTGGCCCTTAGCCCTCTGTTTTGTGCATCCATGTCTAGGGTTAGGGTGACCCGATTCGTGTTGAGATAGAGGGGTAGGCGAAGTGTTGGGGCTACATGACCCTCCAAACAGAGAGTTATGAGAAAAAATGAAAAACCGGCAAAATGGAGAACAAGAGACCAAAGAAACACACAAATGTGAGAATTTTCTCTGTTAAAAATTACAATAACCATCGTTTTATCTTAGTTTGTCATTTCAGTGTATTATCGCTAGTTGCTAGTAGTTCTAACGTCTCAGTAGCTAAACTTCCTGTTCCACCTTAAATGGTGCAGCAGTTACAATCTGGCACCTCAGGCATCAGAACTGCTGCACCATTTAAGGTGGAACGGGAAAATTCGAGCAAGAATCTGGTGAATATCTGACTTCAGCTTCATATCACTGAAGAATTAGGGGTGGGTGATAATAAATAATTGCCCCCCTCTTTGAAGATCATATGATGCCCTAAATGTAACTAAAGCCCAGCAGTGAGGAGCTGAACTTTACCCTCCTCTGCTGTCACTGCAGACTGGCAGGGTCGCCTTTTTTTTTTTGGCTTTTTTATTTGAGGGTCCCATTTCAGAGGGAAGATCTTAACCACTACCCTGTAACTCAGCTCCAAGGGGCAACACTCGAAAAAAGGGTTAAAATTAAAAAAGGGGCTGGGCCTTAGGCCAGAAACATACTCAACGCAAGGACGCCAACGCATTGCAAACGCTCGGTCCTTCTGTACAAACTCACCTCGCGTTCTTACGTTGCTGTGGAGGTTAAAACACTCAGTACTGAAGGGGGCGCTAGAGTACAGATCAGAGAGGGATCTACTGTTATCCCAGCAGCCTCGGTGGCTAAACGTGGACAGTAGAGGAGGGTGAGCTGCTTCACCTCTTCTGTTGGATTGTAAATGCGAAAGTCAATCATATTTTTATGCCATCTTTGCGTGAGACTTAAGTGGTCATCTGCTGTGGCAGTTGAAAAAGCATGCTGGCGGTACAAGGCTGCATGGTCAGGCTTGGCTGTCGTTATAGCGCCCCTTGCTGTGACCCTCAGAATGCTGCACGTACTTGCGTCGCGTTATGAATTACTGCAAAAAATGGTCTCTTGTCAAGTGAAATGGTCTTACATCCAGTCAATATGTCTAATATTTCCCATTTTGAGATGGTTGTGCACTTATTTCTTATTTATAAGAAATATATAATATAATATATAATAATATAATATATTATAATACTTATTTCTTAACATTATTTACTTGTTTTAGGTCATTTTATGGAGTAAAATGGCTTCACTGTACTGGCAGATAATTTCGCTGGTTTTGAGCTCGTTTCTTACAACAAGTAAAATTATCTGCCAATATAGTGAGAAAATTTGACCTAATAAAATGACCTAAAACTAAATAATGTCTAGAAATAAGGTAAACAATCTTACAATTAAGCGATCAACAAACTCAACATGAGAAATATTAGATTTATTGACTATTTTTAAGATAATTTTGCTTTTTTACAAGATAACATTTTTTTAAGAAGCTGTTGTTTCATCTTTGTCTTTTCATTCTGTTTATGCTGATGTTGAGAAGAACCTTCATTACAGTAACTGCTCTGCTGCCTCCTGCCCTGCGTCCCTCCGCTCCCACATCACATCCAGAACATTACGACTACATTTGGGGTAAAGGGGGCTGATTTTTGGCTGAACTATCACTTTCAGAGAGGACGACAGACTCTAGAGGAGCTGAAGCTGATTTTGGGGTTTGTGGTGAAAGCCTGCAGTGAAATCACTCCAGAACCATTCAGTGAGTATTTCAGAGTTTCAGTCAGGTGCAGATCCTTCAGTGATGAAGTGCAGTGCTCATTCTTAGGGGGGGAAACACCGTCATCTTGTCCTGATTTCCCATCTCTGTGGTGGGACGGGGGGGTTTACACTCAAACAGCCATCAGTTAGCCAGTTAATCAATCCATACGATCAGTTCATTAGTCTTCAGTTAGGCTCTAAAAACAAAGGAGGGTTTAAAATGCTCGCTGGGAGAAAAGCTCCACCCTGCTGCCCGTCTGTCATAAAAACAATAAAACTAAATAACTAACAAAAAAATAAAAGCAGGTGTTTAAATTAAGACGTAAGGACAAAACTGGACGGCAGCGGGGTGTTAAAGGCAGTTGGCACATAAAGGATGGACAAACAGGTGGAGGGTCAGTAGGGGGCACTGTCTCAGTACGGCCCTTTGGAGTGTCCGAAAATGGCCAGGGGGAAGTGCTTCACGTGAGATGACCACTGAGCGGCCAGCTGGAAAAACTTCACATCGTTCCACTCGACGCCATCTATCAACACTGCGGAGAAACACATACAGAGAAAACATCGCTCTGAGCAACGTGATATAACACGGGTATAAAAACGAGACACTAATAAAACAGTACAGCTGCATGCATTTCCAATAAAGAGGCCAGTTAGTGGAAGCACAAGGTGGGTGTTTCTAATAAAGTGGCCAGTTAGTGGAAGCACAAAGTAGGTGTTTCTAATAAAGTGGGCCAGTGAGTGGAAGCAAGATAGGTGTTTCCAATAAAGTGGCCAGTTAGTGGAAGCACAAAGTAGGTATTTCCAATAAAGTGGCCAGTTAGTGGAAGCACAAAGTAGGTGTTTCTAATAAAGTGGCCAGTGAGTGGAAGCAAGATAGGTGTTTCCAATAAAGTGGCCAGTTAGTGGAAGCACAAAGTAGGTGTTTCCAATAAAGTGGCCAGTTAGTGGAAGCACAAAGTAGGTGTTTCCAATAAAGTGGCCAGTTACTGGAAGCACAAGGTAGGTGTTTCTAATAAAGCGGCCAGGTAGTGGAAGCACAAAGTGGGTGTTTCTAATAAAGCGGCCAGGTAGTGGAAGCACAAGGTGGGTGTTTCTAATAAAGTGGCCAGTTAGTGGAAGCACAAGGTGGGTGTTTCTACTAAAGTGGCCAGTTATTGGAAGCACAAGGTAGGTGTTTCCAATAAAGTGGCCAGTTAGTGGAAGCACAAAGTAGGTATTTCCAATAAAGTGGCCAGTTAGTGGAAGCACAAAGTAGGTGTTTCTAATAAAGTGGCCAGTTAGTGAAGTTTCTGGTGAAGCACTAATGAATATTGAGTGGTTGACCATTTTTTTGCCTATAGTCTGCCGTTGGAATCATATGTACTGATCAACTGATTAAACGATTGATTGATCGATTACCTTTGAGCATGGTTTGCTGGTGCTTGGCAGTGCAGATTAACCGGCTGATTCCCTCGATCACCTGACTCTTAGACTCCACCTCTTTATCTTTCGTCTTCTTGGGCAGAAACATCACTGCGCAGGACAAAGAACACTCAGCTCATACAGCAGTCTGCAGTACAAAAGCACTCCACGCTCAGCTCGTATGTTACTGCATGTATCTTCACTTTAAGTCTGTGTTGTTTTATGTACTGAAAACTGAAAAGATTAATTTCTATATGACCGTTTTCTGACCTCTCTTTCATCACTTACAATTTAACAGACTGTCTCTGTTACTGTGCCTTTAAGACTGATGTATGTAAATGAGCTTTGAAAAACTCCTTAGAACCTCAGTGTGAATGGGCGGGGCTAAACAGCTGTAGGCTGAATAGGTGAATGTATGTAAATATGGTTGTGATATCACAAAAGCAATGAATTCAAAATGGGCTGTTTTTCACAGTTTAGTTTCCATATTTGATCTGTATGGACTGAGGAGTGAATGATGGTACATTTTGAAACTTTAATATTTCATCAAAAGGCAAGAGAAAAGTAATTTTCTATAACATTAGGCATTCATCATCTGTATATGATTATATATACACACATCTGTTAAGCTCCTGATTCTGGATAATCAGCCTGTAAATGTGATAATTTATTGATTTGTTTGAGCAAATATTCGCACCTTTCTTGTTCTTCTCCTTGGTCACTACAGTCATGGACATGGTCGGCTGTGGCCCCGCCTCCGCCCCGCCCAGTGGGAGGCGGCTAACCTGCAGCGAGCGAAAGGTGCACTTGAGCGTGTTCTTGGAGGAGGAGTCTCTCTTCTCCACGTCTCTCTTCCTCTCCGTCGGAGCCACCCAGTAATCCACCTGCAGACCCATTAGCTCCCCCTGCCCGCCACCCGGAGAACTGCAGCCACAAACACGGAAACATTCAAAACTCAATTGATTAAAAAAACTTGATTGTTCCCTCAGTTGTTCTTTGTGTTTCAGTTTCACCTGAGTTGCGTAAAGTAAAGCTGTAACTCTCCTGAAGTGAGCAGCCTTCAAACTACACAAATAAGAAACTGGCTGTAGTTCCCATATATCCCTGTAGGGGGCGCACTGCATGTCTTTTTAGGGAGATACTAAACGCACCCACTGGGCCAACAATACAAACGATTGCACAGAAAACAGATAAACACTTCATTAAACATTAATATTTCAGATGATAATCGTCCACAAAAGTCCACAAAATGTAATCTTGAACATTATAACACTGCAGAATAAGGTCACCCCAACCCCCTCTGAGTGCGCTGAGTCCACTAACTACAGCTCACTGAACCTGTGTGAACAGTGTGCTCCACTGACGACCGCCTCATTCTGCACTTCAGCTCAACTCGGCTCTGCTCGCGCAGTGCACCATGGGAATGCATGGCCAGTGGGTGCGTTTAGTAACGGCGTTCCAAAATCTAGGCAGCATTTTTGGCCGCTACATCATAGCAGGCTGTTCCGAAGTGAAGGACCCTTGTATACAGCCTGTCTATCTATCTATCTATCTATCTATCTATCTATCTATCTATCTATCTATCCATCCATCCATCCATCCATCTAGAAATGCAGCCTTCATTCTGAGTGATTTCAAGGACGCATCACATGTATCCTTCCAGGCTTTCGGTTACCCACAGTTCTCTGCGCACGAACGACGCGAAGAAAAAAAAACATCAAGAAAATCTTTAATCAGTCATTTTACACTTTATAAGGTGTAACAGCTGAAAGCTGTTCCTGTACTTGAATTCGTCTTCGTTACCTTATAAAGTGTAAAATGACTGATTAAAGAATTCGCTCATATATCGTATTTTGTTTAGAAGTATTTGTGTGTATGTAGTTTATCGTACGACATAAGAGCATCTCCTCCATTTCCCTGAAGAAATGAAGAAGCAACAAACTCAATGGGCTCCATTTTCTCTCACCTGCTCCCTCACGAGTCTCGCGCAGCAATTGTGAGAGCGGGACCTTCCTGGTGGCGTCACCACGCAGCCTCATTAGCACTGCTCCATTTGTGTGACCAATAGGCTACTAAGGAGGAGTCTTCATAGGACAGTCCTCCCGCGGAACCGCACTACCTCGACTAACGCCTAGGCAGCTAGTACCTCCCGTCTTTTCACACATGCTAACACACATCCACTGCACAAACAACAGGCTTGTTTCGCATTATCGTCGCTACTCTAAGCTCCGCCTCCAGGAGGCATTAGACCGGTTTAGGAATTTCAATCTCGGTTTGTTCCCTCCAGATGTCCATGTAAAGTAAAGTGTTTTAACATGACGTTTCATGATGAAGAACTGTTTCAAAGTTTTAGACTTTCGGATTCTGAAGAACTGGATTTTTTTATTCTGAGGTCTTTTCCTGCCGATTATTTCTCTTGTTAATGTGTGACAGTAACTGCTTTTCTTTTCTCGCGCATGTATGAGACGGTAACTCACTCAGGGTGAATAAATGTGCTGCACAGGTGTGTCAGCGGCTGTACCTGCAGGGGGCGGAGTCTGCGTACCTGCAGAAAGGCGAATGAACGGACGGAGAGGAGGGAGGAGTAGGAGAAGCTTCTTTAAGAGCTGGAGATATCTGAGGAGGAGTGGAGGAGAGGAGAGAACCCATTGGAGCAGCATCATCTGAATCACCTTCAGAGAGAGAGAGGGAGAGAGGGAGAGAGAGAGAGAGAGGAACAGAAACAGACAGAGGAGGGAGATTATAAGAGAAAAAGAGAGAGAGAGAAGAAGAAGAGAAACAGATAGAGGAGGGAGAGAGAGAGAGGAGCAGAAATACAGGAGAAAGGGGGGGGGAGAGAGAGAGGGGAGCAGAAATACAGGAGAAAGAGAGAGAGAGAGAGAGAGAGAGAGAGAGAGAGAGAGAGAGGAGCAGAAATACAGGAGAAAGGGGGGGGGAGAGAGAGAGAGAGAGAGAGAGAGAGAGAGGGAGAGAGAGAGAGAGAGATCGTTTGAGTGAGCTGTTCTAGATAAGAAAATGAATGAATAACCTAAATGTTAAAGTCTATTTAAAACTGACCTGAAGCTGCAGAGCTGTGTTCAACAATCCCCACCTTCACCATCTGCACTCAACACACAACCAAACAGTCAGAGTGGGAGTCACTAGAGGCTTCACGATACAATATCATCACAATACTCAAGCCACAGTATGATATTATCACGATACATATTATGGAACATTCTGAAACTTCGATACTGCAAAAAAGCAAGAAAATTAGTTTTTTCATGATCTGGAAACTCATTAAAAAAAGCCTGCATTTATTATCGGTATGTGTTTATATTAAGTTGAACAAGCTTCTGTCCCACAATACAATATTATATCAATATTTGAGCCACAATACAATAATATTATTATTATTTTGAGCCATGATACAATAATATCATAATACTTGAGCCATGATCCAAAATGATCACAATACTTAAACTGCAATATGATGTTATCACAATACTTGAGCCACAATACAACACTATCATGATACTTAAGCCAAGATTCAATATTATCACGCCCTTTAAGGTGTGACATGATACTATCACGATACTTCAACCATGATATGATATTATCATGACACTTAAGCCCGATACGATATATAATAATATACACTTGCACCTTTAAGAGCTGGAGATATCTGAGGAGGGAGGAGAGATACAACACTATCATGGTACTTCAGCCAGGATGCATATTGTTGCGATGCCTGAGCCATGATACCATATTACCATAATACTTAAGCTACGATACGACATTATGGCAATATTTACGCCACAATATGATCTTATCACAATACTTGAGCCATGATATGATACCACAGTACTTGCACCACGATACAATATTATCATGATACTTAAGCCAGGATGGAATATCACAATACTTGAGCCATGATACATATCATCACAGCACTTCAACCACAATAGTATCACAATAGTTGAACCATGAAACAACATTATCACAATATTTAAGCCCAATACATTATCATCAAGATCCCTGAGCCATGAAACCATATTATCACAATACTTCAGCCATGATAAGATATTTTCATGATATTTCAGCAAAATAAGTAATTATTTCAGCAAATGTCCAGAAAATAAGCTGTTGTTTTGAGATAAAAGTCAAACTCTCTAAACAGTAATTTGAAAATGCTGACTTTGTGCTGCCAGGGAGGAAAAGACAACCCCAGCAATACTCACCCCAATAAACGGGATGAATTTCTGACAGGAATCCTCATCCGGGCTGCAGAGAAGAGACAGACAGAACTAAGCGAGCGCCCATCTGTATTAATGTTTTAGCTTTAGGAGTTTAATCTGCTGAAGGTTTTTGATTATCAGAGGAGTGATTACATACTAACCAATGATAATATACTAATCAATCACCTCATCGAGGGAAATCAAATAAAAAAGCAGACACTTTCACTCTGACTGGGTTTCTGCTGTCGTCTATTTGGCCTGGATTCCTTATGGATGATGAAGATTCTGTAGTTTAAAGCGTCAGAGTGAGGCGTCTCTGATCAATTTGGTTTGATTTATTGGGTCTAAAGTTAAGCTACAGGAAAGCAGATCACATGCAAGCTCTCATCCAATCAGCAGCCACTTGGCTCTGCCCCACTGTACTGGGGCGTGGAAAAGAAAGCAGTTTCAGCCAATCAGGAGAGTTTTAGAGCACCACAGCCCGGAGGGGACAAAAAGCACAAACAGAAAAAGGATCCACAGCAGGAAGATAAAATATATAATATTATATAAAATATATTTTCTTATCATTATTCATAAGATATGAAGTGCGTGAGCGTGAACTGTTTGGTACGACCAAGAACGAGACTCATTTCTCTACTGAAAGAGAAGAAATAAGGAGAAAGAGAGAAAGAGCACTGAAAGGAGAGCAGCCCAACACGTCCAATCACTGCACACCGAATAAATACACATGAAATTTAACACATTAAATTGAACCTCCTGTAAGGCCAGAGCTCCCTCTATAAATAAACACTGCATAATAATGAGCCGTAATGAATATTAATGTCCTTTGTGTTATAAATTTGGTTATTTAAGCATAACAGCGCTTTATGATTTCCCACTCTCTATAAATAGAGCTGAATTTGGAGATGTTGGACCACAGACTGGAACTTGATGACAGCAGCATGAAGAGAACAATGATGCCACACAGGAGAGCAGAGGAACCGTCGCGATAGAGCTGTTCAACAGGGTCATCACTGAAGGGGAATTCCACCAAATTTTCCAACGTTTCTGCGTAATTAAATGGTTATGTAAACAAAGTCGTTCAGAGTGGTTTGGTGAGAAAAGCTTCATTGTACACTCTTAAAACATCTTTAAGGGTTCTTTAGTAAAGAAAGTGGTTCTAAATAGAACCATGGACACTGAAAGAACCATATGCATGATTAGAGGGTTCTTTGCATCATAAAAGGGTTCTGCAGATTAATGGAGAATGTGCTGTAGATGAATCTGTATAAACCATTTTGAAAATGGTTCTGTATAGCACTGAAAAGGTTCTTCTTTTCTGTTACAAGCTTGCCATCGTAACAATAGCAGAACCCTTTTTGGAGCTATATAGAACCATATACGACACATTCTCCATCAGTCTGAAGAACAATTTCACCACGCAAAGAACCCTTTAATTGTGCAAATGGTTATGTGAGTGTTCATGGCTCGTTATATAACCATTTTCTTTACTAAAGAACCCTTGAAGAACCTTTTTAAGAGTGTAGAGAAACTTACCGAGTCAGAACTGTTCACAGTGGTGGTGATAGGAACCAGACGTCCACCTCTAAAAGCTCCCTCACAGAAAGTTCCTACAGTAAATGGTTATGAATTCACTGCCTGATGACTGAGACACTGTTTTATGATAGTTTAGAGAACTTAAACTCCATTCGTGGTGGAGGGATACATGCAGGGCGCTGTGAGGCAAAATAGTCCCCAAAGAAAACTTATTATTTCAGATTTTCCACTATTTTCCATCATCAACATTCCATATAAACTCAGAAGACTCGTGTAGGTTCACTGGTGGTTCTGGATAGTAAATAAAATGTCTATATTTGTGTTGTAGTCATGGAGACCCCTGGTTCCCATCACCACCACTGTAAAGACATCGGAACCATTTCACACCAAACCACTCTGAATCTCTCTGTTTACATCTCACACACTGGATTATTCAGGAATGTATATAAATCTGTGGAATTCCTTTTTAACTTGCCTCAAATGTGGCTGATCAGCTGAGACATGTTTGGTGTCTAGTTTTAGCAGAAGAAATACGAGGCTAATGTAGCTACAAACACTTATAAAAAGTATTCGCAAAATACTAATGTCTTGTTATGAGATAATAAAGCCATACGCAGCAAAGCAAAGACGTGTTTTTTGGAACACCCAGTTCAAAACAAATGTTTAAACTGATATATTTGAGTGTTTTATGTTTCAGTGATATTTTTTATCAGAATAACAAACGAAAGCTGAAATCTAAACGGCTGAGATCTCCTGCTGTGTTACTACTGCTGCGTACCAAACCGCATACTAGCTCACTAAACAGTGTGTACACAGTAGTGAAGTGCAATCATTAGTGCAGCAGGTGAAGTACAGAAGTGTGTGGTTTGGGACGCAGCGTTAGATCAGCCAGTCAGACGTGTTCAACAGTCCAGCAGCTCCAGTGGCTGATTAGAGCTCTGCTGAGCTGCTCGTTAAACATCTCCAGCACAAGGTTTAAGGTGTTTCCTGATTAAAGAGCATTAATTAAGATAAACTGATGTTGGCTTCGCATTCGGAACTTCCTGTTTGTGATCTGTTCCACGTTTAAGGCGCCTCAGTGTAACTGCAGGTCCGTTTCAGGTGGAACTGAAAGTTCAGATGAGAAGCTGCTGAATAAGAAGCTTCATCTTTATATCTGTGAATGAGTTTATTATTTAGGAGTTTTGTCAGTTTTGGAGCCACTTTTATTAGTTTTTATAAAATCTCACACTGGAATGTTCTGAACTCTGGAGATGTGCAGGTCATACTGATCCACCAATCAGCTGATCTTCTCCTTATAGTGTTTTCTGGAGACTGAATTTAAAGTATCCTCATATCTGTTCATGTGTTTGTGGTCATTCTGGTCTGTGTTGTTGGTGTTTATCTCCTGCAGGTCTGTATCTGCAGTAACGGTGATGAGACGAGCTCCATCAGAGCACAGAGTTACAGCCCACCTACCGACACGGAGACGCGGCCTTAATGACGTAATCCAACACTATCAATACGCTTCCGTTACTCAGCTACATCAGCCTCGTAGCTCCAGCGCTAAAACTACAGACTTCAGACACCAAACATTTCTGATCGTCTGCATTCGGAATAAGGCCAGGTAAATTTGGCTGCTTCCTGTAGAATCATACTGTCTCCTTCATACACACGTCTTTGATCTTAGAGCAGAGAGAGAGAGAGAGAGAGGGAGAGAGAGAGAGGGAGGCTGGACAGTAGATGAGACCGGGCAGGCAGACCACAATACCTTACTGCAAAATCAAAATGAAAGCTCTTTTTCCTTCAGAGTGGGCGAAGAAAAAAAGACAAAATAAACAGAAAGGAAGGTGTTAATCTCACAGACACTGATGGAGCAAACAGAGATGTCTACACGGCCGTTTGTGTTCAGACGGGGCTTCAAAACAGGCAGACATTTAGCACAGCGCTAACACTGCGCCCTCAGAAAAGACGGTTCCTCAAGGGTTCTTTAGTAAAGGCACTGGTTCTATTTAGATGCCTGGTGAAGTGGTTCTTCAGATTAACGGCAAATGTGTTGTATTTGCTTCTATAAAGAACCTTTTGACTATATAACACTAAAAAGGGTTCTCCTATTGAATACAAGCTTGACATCGTAACTATAGCAGAACCTTTTTTTGGTGCTATATAGAATCAACACATTCTCCATCAATCTGAAATTTTGAAAAGGGTTCTATACAGAACCAAAAACATTTTTTCTATTATGTCAAGCTTGACACTTAACAATACACTTTTTGGTTCTATACAGAACCATCTACAGCACATTCTACATCAATCTGAAGAACCATTTAAGTATGCAAAGGGTTTTTTGAGTGTTTCATAGTTTTATATAGAACCACTGTCTTAACTAAAGAACCCTTGAAGAACCATCCTTTGAAGAGTGAGTTATAATATGGTGTATAAGAGAACAGCCGAATAACCCAGTGTTCAGAGGAGTCTCGATTCAAGTCCTGAGTCAGTCTGGGCGAGTCTCGATTCAAGTCCCGAGTCAAGAGAGTCGAGTCTCAATTCAAGTCCCAAGTCAGTATGGGTGAGTCTCGATTCAAGTCCCGAGTCAAGAGAGTCGAGTCTCGATTCAAGTCCCGAGTCAAGACAGTCGAGTCTCAATTCAAGTCCTGAGTCAGTACGGGCGAGTCTGAATTCAAGTCCCGAGTCAAGAGAGTCGAGTCTCGATTCAAGTCCTGAGTCAGTACGGGTGAGTCTTGATTCAAGTCCCGAGTCAAGAGAGTCAAATCTTGATTCAAGCTCTGAGTCAGTACGGGCAAGTCTGAATTCAAGCACCGAGTCAAGAGAGTCGAGTCTCGATAATTTTATCCTTCTAACTAAAATACAAAATTCATGGTACACAGATAACAATGACGCACACTGTACACACAAAGAGAACTGCACTGCATAAGGAATTTTAAAGTACTGCTGAAGTTGAATGTAATTTCTGATTTTTTTTTGGGAACACTGGCTGCACAGGATTAAAATAAAACCTGCTCAGCCAATTAAAAACAGCCGCTAGTTTGAATTGAATTCAGACAACAACAGAAACCAAAATGACTGAGCTGAACGAAGTTTACAGTAAAGACAGTAAATTGATGGTGAACGTACGAAGCTGAATCCGACAGCAGCTTCTTATCTGAATTTTCCGTTCCACCTTAAATGGTGCAGCAGTTACATTCCGGCGCTTCACTGCTGCACCATTTAAGGTGGAACGACAAATTCCCAAAAGAATTCAAAAACTCAATTACAGCCTCGTGGCGAACGCTGCACTTGTTTTACCTGCAGAAGCCGTTAAAATCGGTCGGACAGAGACGCCGTGTTTCTTCTGTCCTGCTACCGTGAGGAAAACGGTCAGTTCGCCTGCTGAGTTTCTGCAGTAAGGCTGGGGTTAAAGCGCTGAGTGAGGTACATTGATGCTTCGCTTGTTTCCAGCTTATGGAGGTGAACCTGAGCTCTACACGCTTCGTTTGTCTTACGAAATAAAATAAAGCGAGTATAAACACAGTGACAGGCTCTGACGACGCTGCTGTCAATCAAACTAACATCAGGAAATGAGTCCATTCACATTCACAGTGAGCGGCTGTGTAGAGTCAGACTCTCCACGCTTCCACCACTTTGGGTCTAGAGTCTTTCCGAGTCATGAGGCTCAAGTCCAAGTCACTGGTGTTCGAGTCAGAGTCAAGTCACTAGTCTTTCTTGATTTTGTCGAGACTCAAGTCATCAAATTCGTGACTCGAGTCTGAGTTGTGCTGGAACTCAGTAGCAGAAACGAATTACTGCCCACTGCTGCCCATGTTCACACAGTAGTGGTGTCAAATTAAATTTGGAAGAATCAGTTAAAATAATTATAAAAATATTAGACAGTGTAAATAGTTCCTCTGGTTACGTTTGAGTGTTCAGTTTATTAATATTAATAAAAACTGCGGTCTTTGTTTATTTCTTTTAAAATAACTGGATGATTCTGAGTTCAGATTTAAACTCTAACATATAGATAAACTGGATGTCTGCAGGTTCTGAGTTTGTCCACAGTGACACAAACACTTCATTCACTCCAGACTCATATTCAAAGCATCTCAGCACTTAATAAACACAAACATAAACACAGATTTACCAAACTGTATCCACAACAAATACAATGGAAACATTCAGAGGCTTTGAATATGAATTTAATAAATAATAGAAAACATTTCAAAAACAAAATGAGCACAGATTTATTACAGTGTGTGTGTGTGTGTGTGTGTGTGTGTGTGTGTGTGTGTGTGTGTGTACCTCTTCTGTTTGTACGTTAGCATGGCCTCAGCTATGGGCAGCTGATGAGCTCCATTAGCCCCCAGCATGTACTGCGTTACCCTGGCGACCACATCCGGATTATCCTGCACTGTAAAGAGAGAGGGAGAGAGAGAGAGAGAGAGAGAGAGAGAGAGAGTATTTGATACACCTGCAGTGTTTAGTGGCAACGTGTGATGTACAGCCTGAATCATAAATCAATTTTTTTATATTTACAGACAGCAATAAAGGAACTGAGGAAGAGGGACAGAGCATGAGTGAGAGAGAGAGAGAGAGAGAGAGAGAGAGAGAGAGAGATTAGAGTCATGTTGCTGTATCTCACCTATAACAGGAGCCTCAGTTTTAAAGAATAAGTCCCTCCACGCTGAGTCCTGAAACAGACTGCTATACCTGTAATCTATACTGGCCAGGTACTTAGAGACTGGGTGGGCTCCTGCACACACACACACACACACACACACACACACACACACACACACACAGGGGAAAGTGTCAGTGTGATTAAATCACTGGATACACCGACCATATACTGTACAGAGTATACTGTATTCTCTTTATGACCCCCATTGACCTGTATATACTACACTGTATACTGTACTGTGTAGAGTGTAGTGTATAGAGTGCATACTGTATACAGTGTAGTGTTCAGAGTATAGTGTATTGAATGCATTAAATGTTGTACACTATATAGAGTATACTGTATGTAGTACACTGTATTGAGTGTATTGAGTATAGTTTATTGAGTATATTGAATGTAGTAAACTGTACTGAGAATAGTGTGTAGAGTATACTGAATTTAGTCTACTGTACAGAGAGTAGTGTATAGAGTATACTGTATATTGTGCACTGAATGTAGTATACTGTATAGTGT